ATCTCTACAACCAGAAAGAAGGCTCCATTCCCAGACTCACTTCAACACCCCTATCTGTTCATCTCTTTTAGGGAAATGTCTCAGAGAAACTCTGAGAGTTGCCCTACCTGATAACCACCCTCCTCTGTATCCTTATAATTTCAGATTTGTTCAGGTGATCAACCCCCAGTTAAAAACAAAACAAAAAAACAAAACAAAAAAACCCTCTATTTCTCTGCCTCCTCTACATCCAGGAATGGCTCTATCTGCTTTTTGCTCTCTTGAGCAAAATACTTAATGTAGAAGTACATCAAGTTCTCTGCCAGGCTCAAAGCTGCATACAAACAGGAATAATTTAGCTGTCTTTCTAAAAATCAGTCTATCCCCCTGGTCTGGTGCAGGGCCAGTCTCTAAGTAGTCAAGATAATTTGTTGATTTTGATTAGTTGAGCGAACGTTTTTGTTTGTTTCTTTGTTTTTACACAATCCATTTTCTGAAAGGTGTCTGTTGTTATAGCAACATGTACAAATTGTCATGGCAACATGCTCAGGCATCAATTTCAATTACTTGTAAAACAGAAATGCTTGTCTGATTCAAAACAAGCAAGGGAGTCAGACTTACACTCTTAGATTCTATTTTCTCATGCCTCTATTCACCTCTGGCAACAACTCAACTATCAATTTTTGAAACAAAATGGAATAATCTGAAAGACTTGTCTAATATTTTTGAGCAGTTAAAGAAATGTATTGACTTTCAGATCCCTCAATTTGTGAAAGAGTATTCAAGGTGACATTTTTGGTGACCCAGTCTTCTTGATGGACATAAAAAGAGAGGTGGGTTTACTTATGAAATCCAGAAACCCTGCTTGGGTAGACTGAGTGTTCCTGATGATCCTCAGGAGTGTTTAACATTCCTGTCCAGGAAGAATTGACTAATTCTGGAATCTGAATGTTCAGCAGGGGAGAAATCTGTCAGCTGGTGTGGCAGTCAGAATAATGCTCCCCAAAGATGCCCATGTCCTAATCCCAAGATCCTGTGAATATGTTAGGTTACCAGCAAAGGGGAATCAAGGATATAGATGGAGTTAAGATTGCTAATCAGCTGACTTTTAGATGAGGAGATTCTCCTAGATGACGGTAGTAGGCCCAATGTAATTACAAATGTTCTTACAAATGGAAGACGGAGACAGAAGAGGAAAACAGAGAAATGGCAGCTGAGGAAGAGACCAGCCCTATCAACACCTTGATTTTAGCAAGGTGAGACTCATTTTGGACCTCTAACCTCCAAAGTTATAAGGCAATAAATTGGCATGGTTTTAAGCCACTACATTTGTGGTAATTTCTCTCTTTTTAAAAAAACTTTATTTATTTATTTACTTACTTATTTATTTATAGCTCATGCGAAGGTGTGAGGTGGGGCAGATGGGGAGGGAGAGGGACAAGCAGACTCTGTGCTGAGGGTGGACCACACCCCCACCCCCCGTCCGGGGCTTGATGTGGAGCTCAAACTTATGACCCTGAGATCATGACCTGAGCTGAAAATCAAGAGTTGGCCAGTTAACAGACTGAGCCACCCAGGCGCTCACATTTGTGGTAACTTCTTACAACGACCTTAGGGAATTATTGCTAATACAGCTGATATGCCTCTGAGGTTCACCACTGATTCAGAAGTTGCCCTGGGCCTCTGCTCTACTGGGCAAGGTTCTGAGAGCTAGGCTCTGAGGGATCTATGGACTGATAAGTTCCTCTGAATACGTGAGCCTTGCAGAGCATATCGGTACGTCAGACTGGAAGCACACAGGAGGACAGAAAACCTAGATGCTCAATGGGACAAGTCCTAGAAAGACACCAGGGTAAACACTCAGCTCTTATCTGCCCCAGAATTGCAACTATACACTGGTCTTGAGCATTCGTCTGTCAGCCTCACAAGACTAGTGTACTTTCAGTGCCAGAGGTCCTGGCTCTCAGAGTGTATGAAGAAAAAATTTTAACAAAGAATTACCAGACCCTTCGGGGTGTCTGGGTGGCTCAGTCATTAAGCGTCTGCCTTTGGCTCAGGTCATGATCCCAGGGTCCTGGGATTGAGCCCCGCATCGGGCTCCCTGCTCCGC